CCTTTTTTTTTATACCCCGAACCGAACCCGGCCAAAAATTTTGTCGGGTTCGCATCCCTGACTAAACCTATTTGAAATCGGCCCAATGACTAAATACTGCATTACTGCCGTTATCCATGGAAAATTCTTTATTTTTGGTCTATACATGTACATTAACGTTTAAGCATTTTCCTAAAAGATATTTTGAAAATATGATTTGACCGAATGCTAAGCTCAAAACCGACCTCTTACGAAATATTCAATTGACCAAATTTGCTAGTAATATCAATTGAAAAAATGTTCAGTTTTGTTTTATATATCTATAAAACGTGTAAAACATTATTCCAAATAATATTTTAAAAATATCGTGATTTGACCGATAACCGATTTGAAATGAAATAATGCATTGCTGGCGTTATCCACGGAAAATTCTTTATTTTTGGTTTATGCGTGTACAAATACGTGGTAAGCAAAAAAATTTTGATTTTACCGAATGTCGAGCACAAAACCCACCACTTACTAAATATTCGATCAAGTAATATTAATTGAAAAATGTTCATTTATTTTTATTTATCTATAAATACTTGTAAACCAATCAGATATTTTTAAAACAAAAATATGATTAATAATTTTAAATTTTTACAGCTAATATTTAAACTTTTTTATTTTTTTACGTACACATTCACTTTTCTTTTTAGGAAAATGCCAAGATATTTTTAATTTTAATAAAATTGATAAATGCCAGGCAGCCAGGAATTTTCGACTGAGGTGAGGGGAGGGATAACTTTATTAATATTGAAATCATTTTATTCTAAGCATTATAAATTTATTAGAACCAAGAATGTTTAGTAAGTGTTCGGTTTTGAGCTCGGCATTCGGTCAAATTATAATATTTTCAAAATATTTTTTTAGGATAATGCTTACCACGTATTTGTACAAGCAAGCATAAACCAAAAATAAAGAATTTTCAAGGATAAAGCCAGCAATGCAATATTTCGGTTTCAAATCGGTTATCGGTCTAATCATAAAAATATATTTTGGAATAATGTTTTACACATATTTATAGATAAATAAAACAAAAATGAACATTTTATAATTGATATTACTAGCAAATTTGTTCAATCGAATATTTAGTAAAAGGTCATTTTTGAGCTCGGCATGGTCAAATCATAAAATTTTCAAAATATTTTTCGAACAATGTTTTACACGTAATTTATAGATATATAAAAGAAAACTGAACATTTTTTTCAATTTACTAGCAAATTTGGTCAATCGAATATTTAGTAAGTGGTTGGTTTTGAGCTCAGCATTCGGTCAAATCATATGATTTTCAAAATATTTTTTAGGAGAATGCTTAACATATTTACCATATAGAAAAAAGAATTTTTCATGGATAACGCCAGCAATGCAATATTTATTCATTGGGCCGGTTTCAAATCGGTTATTAGCAGGGCCGTAGCTACGGAGGGTGGCGGGGTAAATAGGCTCTCCCAAAAAATTTTCTGACTACCAGTAAAAATCTTTGGCCCCCATAAATTTTTCCTGCCACTCAAATTTAAAAAAAATTTTTGTAATATATTATTTTTATATTTTTAAAATAAATTTTAAATATTTATTCAAAAAATATGTCTAGTTTGTAAATTTCTTTTTATACTGTTTTTTTATCCAATAATAAATCATCATTAATTCTTATTTCATCATTTTCATGTATGCTTGTGTATGACATTATATAGGCCCTTAATCACGTTTAAATTGTACTTATTTCAATGATAATTATTTTATTTATTATGGTGCAATCATAATATTATGATTATAATATAACCAGTTATTTAAAACAGCGGTGAATATTTTAGAATTATAAAAAAAAATACTGAGAAAACAACAATTTTGGTAAGCCAACAAATTAACCGTAATCTTTACTATTTTAAATCAAAATTTATTTGATGCTATTTCTTAGCATACAGTAGCTACCTTTTCGTGGGATTGGTTCAACAAAAATTAGGGATGCTACAATTGATGAAAACATAATTTATTCTTCTAGACTATTTATAGTAATGTTTTCATGCACCATTCAAAAAGATCCTGAATTAAATAAAATTATGAAATTTATACCCAAAAATGCCCAATATACATCACCCCAGATTCAAAATGAAGTGATATCTATTATGGCAGATATGGTGCTTGAATATATATCAGATAAATATAACGAGAGATGCCTTTTATAAGTCTTAAGGCTGATGAGACAAAAGATGTACAAGGTTGTGAAATCTGAACATAATTATTCGTTACATTTTTTCTGGAAAATAAAATTTAATAGGAATTATTAATTTTACAGTGTCTTTCTGCTGAAAGCATTACTAATTGCATTTTATAGCAAATTAATGAATTAAATATTAATTCAGCGAATATAATAAGCCAGGCATATGATGGGGTAAACGTTATGTCTGGCCGAAATGAAAGAATGAAAACCCTACTTTAAAAAAAATTAATAAAAAGGTTTCTTTTATACATTATTACAACCACATGTTGCATCTTGTGGTTCATGGTATAATAATATTGTTATCATTTCTAATTTTTTATTTATTTATACAATACGTTGTATAATTCTTTAGGCGTTTTAACATATCCTGTAAATATGCAGGCCATTCTTTTAAGAGACTCCAGAGGTTAACTGATCATTTGAAAGCATCTCACATTTATGAGTATTTTAAGGCTATTGGTGAAGTATTATTTTACTTTTCCAATAGAACTCTTAATTCGGAGGTTTCCTCTCAGATTCAGTCGAAGCCTCTGGTCTTTATAAACCAAAAATGAAGAGCAATATGTGCCTAACAAGTTTTCTATTATTTTATATTCTAAACTCTCTCATTATTTAAAGTAAAAGAAACCTATCTTTTAAAAAAAAATTAGGTTTTTCACATGTATTTACACCCAAAGATAAAAAAAGCACTAACTAATAATAATTCTGGTTTCCTAAAATGATATTTCCATATTTATGCATTTAACGCCCTCTTATGGATATATATTTGTTAAATTTTAAAAATAGAATTATAAATTGATATTTAATCTCAATGTTTTATTTAATATTATGTATATTTAAAAAAATTTTCCTGAAAATTATTTTTAATAAAAGATTATATAATTAAATTTTGATTAATTATGATTAATTGCTTTTTAGAAATGCATTTTAGCAATGCAGTATCAATTTTTATTTTATATCCCAATATATTTCCGGTACGTCAGATAATATTTTTTGTTTTTTCCGGTATTTCGTTATTTTTTAACTTTAAATCATTTTGTGAAGGCTTTTTTTTAAATTTAATAATCTCATTTTACTAGAAATGTATTCCATCATATTTGGAATACCTACTCTATGAATTTCAGATAATTATATAATGAACATTTGAACTTGGCTTGCATTATTAGCGATATTTTTTGAATCCAAGTTGCTTCCATGAACATTATTTTATTATTAAACGAATAAAAAAATGCAAAATTTTTTTTTAAATATTAAACTGGACATAAGATGACCAACGTTTAATATGTTAATCAAGAAAAGTAAAAATGGTTAATTTTAATTTTTGCTCTTAAAACCCTATAATTATTAAAAAATATAAGAACTAAAATTTATTTTTAGCCTATCTATATTATGCAACCATCATACATATTTTTATTGAAATCAAAATGTGCGGGTTGTGAGATGTATTATTTATCATATAATGACATTTAATATTATGGACCATTCTATATCAAATCGATCACGATTAGGCCAAATCCTTTTATAATTGTTAAAATTTTCTGGAATTATTTTGTTAGGTTAAAAAAATGACAAAGCAATTTAATTTACACTTGGTTCCCGAGATACAAAGTCTTAAAGATGTAAAAAATTGGGACATTCGAATCTTTAAAATTTTTAAAATGCTATATTTTAAACATATTTGTAGTAAAAAATAAATACATATATTGTAGTTTAAATTAATCTCTAAAGGTCGAAAATTGAGGCCAATTTGAGTGTATATTTTCCTAGTTTTTAAGAAAAAAAATTTCCCTTTTATTTCTTCACCTTTTATAAATATATATACGATGTTAACCCCTTGTCGGCGCTATCGGTTCTTCCGAAATATGCATTTTTAAAATTTATTAGCATAAAATAGATGATGCTATATGAAACTACGGATTATTATTAAACTCTGTTGCTAACTTACCAATAACAGGATATTTTCATTCTCTTTATTAAAATATATGTAATTTCTATTAAATATACCAATTAAACTCAGGGACTTGGGCAAACCGCTAGACATCTTAATAATGTATCAAATTTCCAATAATAAATATCTTTCGTATAATTTTTTATTAATCATTTTTACTAATGATATATTAATTAGATAGCTCATCAAATTCATTCCATAATTTAAAATATATTTGAAACAATAGTTTGAGATATAAAATGGTTAAATAAATTTTTAATTTATCTCATCTTTATGTATAATATATTTTCGTTCGGTAGCAGTTAAAGGATTGACCACATCTAAAATTTGTGATTTATACATCCACAATTTGTCAATCGAGTAGAGATATGTATAAAGAATTTGAAAGTCCTTGAGAATACAAAAAACAAATTAACAGCTCATCCACAATTAAGATATATATACTATATCCATATATTTTTTCATATATTAAATTCGCATTATTATTCGAATGAAATCTTATATTTAATATTCGCGATTTGCCTGAACGATATTTTCCTTCATTTAAATTCATTAAAAAATTTATGCCTTGAATATAAGCAATTTAAAAAATTTACAGGTGTTAACCTTTGAATGTATCTCGGGAACCAGCTAGCTAAAATAAACCGCTTTCTCATTTTTTTGCCTATCTAAATGATTCCAAAATTTTTTAACAATCTTATAAGTCGCCGGCTGAAAATATACCTTTTTTGATCGATTTAGCATGGAATGGCTCTTATAATAATTTTTGTCATACCTTTTAAACATTATAATATCGATATTATTTTAAAAAAGGCATGGGACAAGGTGTGCTGGAGAAGTTGCTGCTGTCGCAAACAATTCAATATGTATAGTAGGAGTCGCTTTTAGATCGAAAATTGGAGGTTAATTTATAAAAAAAATAACAAATTGAATGCTTAATAAATGTTTATATTGCTAAATAATTGACTACTCTTTTTGTGGATTTTATATGTCGAACATCAAATATAAAATAGAATTTTAAACAAATAAAGAATTGATTCATTTATTATCATATTTAAAATTAATTCAAAAAAAGATTAAATTTCACTTATTGTAATAAAATCAGGGGTTCGTATGCTAGATGGGGATGTTACCGACGAGGTTGAAGCTCGAGCCTTGAGCCTTAATCCCGATTACATAGATATCTATAGTGCATCATGGGGACCTGACGATGATGGGAAAACTTTAGATGGGCCCGCCCGCATGGCCCAACAAGCTTTCGAAAATGGTGTAACTAAGGTATTATTTCAAATCCATTTTTAAATATAATCCTTTAAAATGTAAGCCCATGTTGCAAAGTTTCGATAATTTATTATCTGATTCTCTGCCAACAATTGTCTATAAATTACATTTTTTAGGCTCTATATTTGTATCATTCCATAAACAAAGGTTTTACATAATTTAATTTTTAATCTGAAGGCTGTGTAATTTTTAAATATTAGAATTAAATATAATTATTTTTACGTAAAATACGATGAAAAACCTTGATGGCTATCTATAAATTATATAAAAATTTGCTGAAACTTAATGTATTTTGAACGTTTATTTTTCATGCTTGTAATTAAAAAAAAAATTTTTATTTTTTTTATGCTAAAATAATGATAATCATTTATTTCCATATGCCTATCTATTTCAAGCATAAATCAGTTCTGTATTCATTATATTTGTTTGAAGGCTCTTGACAGTAAGTTTGCAAAGAAATAGGGATTTGATTTGATGATTCATTATGTTAATCACAAAATGGGAAACGCGTCCTATCCTTCCATATGGCTCGCCTTTGAGCCATATCAACATAAATTTTCTTATCCAACATGTCCTTGCTGATTTGAGAAATCAAAGTTAATCGTGGCCTGTCTCTATTTCATTGGCCCATTACTTCGATGGAGTTAAACTTATTTAATAGAAGTGATAATTTTCAACTCTTGGTATAAATAATTCAAGATAACACATTAATTTCTGGTTACGCTTAAATCAAAGATTTTAAGAAAGTATTAGACATGGATATGACAGAATAAATTTTTTTAATTGATTGGAAACAGTGATGAAGCATCCATAAAATCAATATTACTACATTTCAGATTTACTTTATCCCAATAGTTATTTCTCCCAATATGTCCCTAGGCTATTACTTTTTTAAAATTTTAGTAAAAAAAAATTCTCAATTAATGGTGATTTACAATCAACACAAATCGCCATATTCCCAAGCAATTACCTTAGTTTCATCGGGTCGAGCCTTTTTTGCTCACCTCCCATTCTTATGTGTTTTTTTATAGTTTTATATATTATGCTATTTTTAATATATTTTTAAAAATATTATTTGTAGTTAAACATTAATACTATTTTTATTACCTTAAAAATATACAATGTATGATTTTTTTATTATCCTAAAAAAAATTAACATTGAGGAACCAAATATAAAATTGCTTATTTTTTTAATAAATAAAGAGGAATACAAATGTGTTGTGTAATTTTACCTTTAAATAATAAGATGATAATAATTAATTAAATGCAGAAACCTTCATGGGTCTTAATTTGTTGACCAAGCCTGGCCCAGGTCTATGGCATAATAAATTTGGCCCAGCCTGGCTTGCATTTAACCCTTTACCACATGATGTTTGCAATAAGTTAGAAAAAATTCTCAGGTATCCCCTTTGACATATTAATCGATAATTGATCAAAAAATTTTTTATTTATCTATTTTTTTTTGACCATAATAATGTATGTTACATATAAGTCACAAATTGTATTTAACAAACAAATTATTGCATTTTATATATTGGTATGAAATAGAATAAAGCATTTTTTATTTGCATGGAAACATAGTGCGCATTTCGAGCATTTTACATGTGTAGCTCCTTTACATAGTGGATTTTTGCACTTTTAACGATTATTCATCCACTCTGGGAAATGTTCAATTTGATCCGTGCGAATATCTGTGGACGGTACGAAAGACGTAGGCCCCCTTCTTTTTTTATCTAAATAAATAGAATAATTACTTCTATTAGATTTTTGACCATAGAAGAAGGACATCCGCGTTTCAATTTTATTGTAGCTTCAACTTGACACATTATTGTGGCTACTTCTTCCGATAGAGAAAAAACAGAATTGTCATCTGATTTGTCTTTTTCACCTTGAATACGCCGATATAAAAACCAGTAATTTGCAACTGCTATATCAATAAGGTGTTGGAAGACTTTTATATACCACTTTTTGTATCTGGTTGTATTATGGTATCTTTCATTATTGCTGCCTAACAAATCAACCTCTTATGTTTGTTTGTTGTTTGACAAGCATGGGACAAGCTTTATTTAGTCTTTTCTTGGTTTTGCGGTCAGATCGTTCAATATGACTCTGGGGTAATTTCCCGTACAATGTTGACAAAAAGGTTACCGTTTTATTATCTTTCCATACTAAGGAAGTTATATCTATCCTTTCAATATTTGCCATGTATTCAAAGGATGGCCCTCTGATCTCTTTTTTCATTTCGATCTCTGTAGGAGCTTACAATTTGGGATCCTATTCCTCCTTACAGTACCAAGACTGTATAACCTATAAAAATACTTGAAAAATTAAATATATAATAGATTTATTATTTTTTTGCCAAATATATCAAAAGGTTTATTGAGGTATTATCAAAATTAGCTTAAAACTTTGATTTATAAGTATTGTTTGGGCTTAGACACACAATAATATTGCTGGACGCTCCTAAATCTGGTTCTGTTGTTGGTCTTTTTTCAGAATCATTTTCTTGCCCAGAATATAATTCTAGGATTCTTCTTTAGGAATTGTACGAAACCTACCTTGAAAGTGTTTCACAATTGAGACTACTTTTATAAGCCTATTATGGCCTGGTTGACCTTTTGCTATAGAATTATTATTGTCATTAAAATGGAGAATGGATCGAATGCTTTCAAATTTAGTGATAGTCATAGTCTTTTTTATAAGATTATTGTCAATTACATCTTTCCAATAGTCTCATATGGATGGTAATTAGACAATCGACATGAGAATATTAATCCCAATGAATTTCCTTAACTCCATTATAGAATATTTTATAGGTTTGTTAATATTTTTTATTCCTACATATTTGGTTGATTCGAGAACTACTAAATCTAGGAAATTATCATTCAAATATATGATGAACATTGATAGGGAGTATGTAAAGCCAGTATCTCGCTGGATAAAGTCGACTTTCCATTGAATTTTGATAATTTTTAAGGATATTTAAAAAAATTTCCTTCGATATTATATCTCCGTCTATTTATGTTGTATTTCGACAATCGAGTCCAACCATCGGGGAGGGGGAGAGAACGACGGAGTTCGTGGGGCCGGGATTGTCAGAGAAGGGGACTGGGGGACCGGACTTAGCGGGCATGTTGTGGTTTTACCAAAGTCCCGGCAAGGGTCGCTCAGAATGAAGTAAATTACCACATATAAACGAACCGACAATTAGTATTATAAAATTTTATTTCGTTAAGAATAGACGCCAATAATAGTACAATTTCAATAAGTCCATTAAAAATAATCGAAATAATATCGTGACATAGAAGTAAAAACAAGTAGATAATAAATTATTTCATAAAACAATCACAATTCATTTTTCGAGGTCTTTATATAGCCCCCTTTTACGATCAAACAATAATAAATAAATATCAATTTCATGTCCTCGTCCATCTCGAAAACTAACAAGCTCGGTATAAGTGAATATCATATAAACAAAGAAAAATATGTTGTAGGGTATAAGAAAAACATATCATTTATAAACGAATATTGTACAAACAAAGAAAAATATAAATGGTAAATAAGAAAACCCCATCACTTATAAACGAATACCGTACAAACAAAGGATAAGATAAATTATAAACTAATTAAAAACACAACAATTTATATTATTAAAATTATCTGAAAATGTTGAATTCTCATTATCATGGCCATCTTTTAAAAAGCTGTCATCAGAAGAATAATCAGTTGATGAAATCATAGTCTTATTAGTAATATACATATATATTCGATTAAAAAAATTTTAATTAAACTTTTTTTAAATATAAAAATGGAAAAGAATATAGGAATATTTTAGTTATCTGGTTCATATTTTTATTAAAAATTACGAAAAATGTCAATTTTGAAATATAGGGAACAGCTGACATTAAATACTCGCACTTTAAATAAATATAAGAATTTCTATTTAAAAAAATGATTTTTATACAAAAGGAATGTTACTTATAAGACACTATTGCGCCAAAATAATTTACACGGTCAAATTGGTCAGAAAATTCACTATGTAACTGATTAGTAGTCATATGTAATAAAGGGTCACAAACCTATAAAAATTTCTATAATGGAGTTAAGGAAATTCATTGGGATTAATATTCTCATATGGATTATCCAATTATCGTCGATAAGAGACTATTGGAAAGATGTAATTGGCAATGATCTTATAAAAAAGACTGACTATCACTAAATTTGAAAGCATTCGATCCATTCTTCATTTTAATGACAATAATAATTCTATAGCAAAAGGTCAACCAGGCCATAATAGGCTTATAAAAGTAGTCTCAATTGTGTAACACTTTCAAGATTGATTTCGTACAATCGATGAGCAAACTTGCTCAACTAAGGCTCGTATACATTTAAAACACTATATGCCAATGAAGCCTCACAAATGGGGCTTTAAATTCTTCATTCTATACGGTGTATCAAGATTTGCTTATGATTTTGAACTATATTCTATTCTGTGCAGGAAAATGATTCTGAAAAAAGACCAACAACAGAACCAGATTTAGGAGCGTCCAGCATTATTGTTGTGCGTCTAAGCCCAAACAATACCTATAATAAGTTATATTTTGACAATTACTACACCTCTATAAACCTTTTGATATATTTGGCAAAAGAGGCATAATAAATCTATTATATATTTAATTTTTCAATTATATTTATAGGTATATACAGTCTTGGTATAGGTTCCCAAATTGTATGCTCCTACAGAGATCTAAATAAAAAAAGAGATCAGAGAGTCATCCTTTGAATACATGGCAAATATTGAAAGGATAGATTCTAAAGTATGGAAAGATAATAAAACGGTAACCTTTTTGTCAACATTGTACGGGAAATTACCCCAGAGTCATATTGAACGATATGACCGCAAAACCAAGAAAAGATTAAATAAAGATTGTCCCATGCTTGTCAAACAACATTACAAACATATGGAAGTGGTTGATTTGTTAAGCAGCAATAATGGAAGATACCATAATACAACCAGATCCAAAAAGTGGTATATAAGAGTCTTCCAACACCTTATTGATATAGCAGTTGTAAATTACTGGTTATTATATCGGCGTATTCAAGGTGAAAAAGCCAAATCAGATGACAATTCTGTTTTTTCTCTATCGAAATTTCGCCATGAAGTAGCCACAACGCTACAATAGAAATGAAAAGCGAATGTTATTCTTTTTAGAGATATTTAAATTTTTTCCTTTCATATATTTCTTTGTCTACTTATAATAGTAAAATTATCTGAAAATGTTGTATTATCATGCTTATTATCTTGGCCATCTTCTAAAAAGCTCTTATCAGAAAATAAATCAGATGATGAAATTATATTACAGTCTTATTAGTAACATACATATATATTCGATTAAATTTTTAATTAAACTTTTTAAAATATAAAAACGGAAAAGAATATAGGAATATGTTATCTGGTTCATATTTTTTTGAAAAATAATATCAGAGTTTAATATTAAAAAAGGTGGAATTAAAAATTACGAAAAGAAACAGATGACATTAGATACTCGCACTTTAAATAAATATAAGAATTTCTATTTAAAAAAATGATTTTTATAAGACACAATTTAAATTTTCGCGCCAAACGCTGTCCTATGGGTAATAAAATTCACTTGTGACTGATTAGTAGTCATATGTAATAAAGGGATTATCAAAATAATCATAAATTTTGCCAACCCTAATTCTTATTAAAAGTATAGAATTACTAAATAAAATATATCATACTCCATTAGTATTATTTCAGCATAATTATATATAAAATGATTTCATGGGCTTGGGAAAATTTTTTGAAACTTATTGCGAGCTTAGGAATTTTTTTTAATATTAAACCAAATAATATTTCAATCAGGTTTAGGTTGAAAAATATCATACATCATAAAAAATTTTAACCTTAGTATAATATTTCTTTGTAAGTAAAAAGTTAATATTTTAGTGGATCCATTCAGGAAATTATAAGTCATGAGCTAATTTGATATTTTTGTCAAAATTCGATGATATGTGCAACTGTTTGAATACATTTAACTGGTGGGTAATTCCATGACATATCGACCAGTAATTCGGACGACCTTTTTAAAAATGGATGAAACTTAATAAAGGTTAAATATATTGTATATTTTATACAAATTCAAATTTTTATGCCCTAGCTCAAATATGTCAGTTATGGGCCTTCAAAGTTTGATGAGAGTTCTCCTCTTTTAACAAATCTCAAAATACTCAATGGTCTAAAGTAACAAATTATATATCATTTTGTCTGATGCTTCTTCCAAAGTAAGCATTAGCAATTGGCGGAATTTTGGAGTTAAAAATGCTGTGATTTTATGAAGAATATCTAATTGGAATTTAGATATTTAGGCTCTTGATTTTAATTTTATAATTTCATCATTTTTTTGATATGCATCATAATATTAGACACTGATAAATTTACCAATGTTTTATAGTTAATTTTTTTTTATAATAACCATCATTTTTATTTATTTTTCTAGTTTATATATTATAAATTAATAATTTATATAATTTTTTTTTAACTAATATAGATTATTTTTATAAAAAAATAAGAAAATTATAACGAATATTTATATATATATCATTCATATATTAAAACATATGATGAAGAATTAGAAAGGAAGAAAAATTACTAAAGGTAAGAACAAAAAAATATTTATTAAATTATTAAAAATGTACAACAAAAAAGTGAACATTAATTTTCAGAATGAAAGTAAATAATAGATCATATTAAAATAAATTTTTATTGTTATCGTTTTAACATGGACTGTTTTATATAAAATAATTTAAAATACAATAGGTTTTTGATTAACTTAGAAATCAACTGAGAAGTTTTAGATCAACTTAATCAAATATCAGATATTTATAGATAAAAAATGAAATATTTTATCAAATCTCATGAATACTAATATTTGATAAATTAGGTCTTATATATCCCTCCAGCTCTTTGGTTGCCTGATCAAGGAATCATTATGTTTATCAGAGATTTCAATCCCTTTTTATCAATAATTCAGCTTGTCCTCCATATTTTTTCTCCCTTATTATTTAATATAACGGAATCATAGTCGAGTCCGGCTTTCTATATATCATCCCCCCAAGGATGGAACAAGAATGAGGTTTTATAATCAGGGTGTAATATTTACATAAATTTTGTAGAAAAGGTATTTCATAGAATAGTGTTAATAAGATGAGAAGAAGAGTTTATCTAATTCCTTCATCAAGTTTCTACCTTGATTGGTAATGAATGTGATTTTGTAAAATACATCAGAAGCATATCCGAGTTTAGTAAAATTAGAAACAAGTTTCCTCTGAATGTTTTAGAGTGGTGTAAAAAGCACGTTTTATTAATTTTCATTAATTATGTAGTGAAGAGTCTTTTTTATATATGTGTACTATTTAAAGTCATCTGTGTTTAAATCAGTTGTTGCACTACAAAAAGATTTATTAAAATATTTTGTATTTCTGGGAATATATTTTTGTGCAAATTTTGAGAAATATCATGTATACCTTGACACTGTTATGGGACTTGCCATAATTTTTCCAACATCAATTAAGCCCCTCTTTGAACCAACTTCAATAAAATATTGTGCCAAACGTTTGAAGCCTTTACCAGCTATACATTGAAAACGAATATCTATGGTACAAAATTTTACACATCTATTGATAACTTCCCTTTTTCACTTGTATATGATACTTTAACATTTTTAATTGAATAAAAAGAAGATAATTATAATCTTGATTTGCATTTATCTAGATTAATGTGAAGACCAGACTTTCCTGAATATGTAAGTGTGTTCTGACATTTTTTTCATTGAACAAATCCAACTTTTTTGATTTTGATGGTCTATTATTATACTGAAACTATCCTAGACTTTGCTATTTAATTAATTACTTTCAAATAATTTATATTCCTGATAATGTAATTTTTATGTATTTCTTGATTTTTATTTATTATATATAGTGCTGTTCGAAGAAAAGGAACGCCATTTGTTACCTTCTTCTAGGGGTAACGAGCAACGGTAACGCTTTCTTTTTTTGAGTAGCGGTAACGCAAAACGATACTCAAATTTTTTCTTAGAAAATATGGAACCATATTTTCTTGTATTATAAAATTATTTTTTAAATTTTATAAATAATTTAAGCCAAGTTTTTAAGTCAGATTAACCACCAAATTCTTTCATTTTAATTTTCGTTGTTTAATTTTCAGTCAAGATTGTTAATCTAATTGAATCAATCAAGAATTTTATAATTTATTTTAGAATATTATGATAATTCTAAATATTTCTTCAGATGATCTAACCTGCCCTGGTTTTAATTTACACCAATAAAAAAATTTAGGGTACAAAGTCTATCTTCATAAAATTGCGTTTCAAATATTTCCTCAAATGTGGATTAAATATGGTCAGTCTCGAAATTATGCATCAATTTTTAAGGAAAAAATGGGAAGATATCTGATTAAACCAGTTATAATAAGATTCAACTCTTTTTATAACTCCGTGAAATTAATAGTCTTATTGAGGAAAATAACCAATTTGACGATCTTGTGATAAATCCTAATTTCAGAGATTTTCAGATAATGACAAGTCGTTCATATATATTTTGTTTGGTTAGTGTTAATTAAAAATATGATATATATATTTATTTTAGTTTTTTATTAGAAAAATATTAAAAATTAAAATTTAAAAAAGATTTTAATTTAATTAAAACCAAATTTGAAAATAGTAAATTGATTATAATTAATCGTTTTTTGGAAAATTAAAATTTTATTAAGTATAAATAGGATACCAAGTGATTTTAAATAGAACAAGCAATAAAAACAAAATTAACACTCAGTGTGATAAATAACACATATGTTGCCCTATTAAATATCCTTAAAATAAGCTAAATTTAAATGAAAAATTTTAGGATCAAGCCCATTAAAAAAATTTTTTTTACACAAACCCGCTCGGCTCAGGCCCACTAGAAAATATATAATTAGGCTCCTAAAAAGTATGCACTTTATTAGATTTATTTCTAAAATGACGTAGTTTATGATAATCATTAATTGAATATCGCTGACACTCCTAAAAAAGAGAATTTTTTTTATCCTTTCGTCTCTGATATAACCCAAAGTATAAAAGATTAAGGGGAAATATTACCCAGATTAAGTTATCTAAACTTTAGTTTGAATCTAAAGTTAGATAAAATCGAAAGGGATCGGCCACATCTTGATTTGACATGGAATGATCCTTAAAATTTATTAGTTATGTATATCTAATGCCTCTATTGGTACATGACAAAAAGGGTCGGCGTGGTTTGGGATCAATATTTGCATGGGCCTCGGGTAATGGCGGACGAGACCGAGACAACTGCAACTGCGACGGATACACGAACAGTCGCTACACACTGAGTATCAGTTCAGCCACCGAGTCGGGTCATGTGCCTTGGTATTCAGAGCCTTGTTCTAGTACACTGGCCTCTACCTACTCCTCTGGCTCCGTTATGGAACACAAGATCGTCAGCACAGATCTCCGACATGGATGCACCGAATCTCACACAGGCACTTCAGCCTCAGCCCCTCTTGCTGCTGGTATTCTTGCCCTAGCCCTTGAAGCCAACCCCAACCTCGGGTGGAGGGACATGCAGCACCTGGTAGTCGTCACATCTAAGTACATTCACATTGCTATCTACACATTTATTTTATTAAACATAGATGAAATATTAATGAGAGTTATATCGTCGGCTTTGTAAGTGGTATCTGACATTTTTATCAAAATCGATTTATAAATAAGTATAACATGTGTATATCATATTCCATATCTTAAAAACTATATAGAAATGATTTTTTATTGGCTGAAAAGAACTATTAAAATATTAAATCGAGTGGTTGCCGTGCAGCAGCTTAATATGATAGTTTAAAAAAGTTTATATTTTGTTTAAGTTATAAAAAATATACAATCATACAATTATAATTTGCTATAATTACATGTTTTTACTTAAAGCCCCGATAATTTGTACGTTAGTGATTGGACTGTCAATGGAATAGGACGTAAAGTGAGTCATTCCTTCGGTTACGGAATGATGGATGCGGGCGCCATGGTCAAAGCAGCCCGAGTTTGGCGCAATGTTCCACCCGCCAACAACTGCACGATCATTAACACACGACATAGTGGGCCGATCCCTCCTAATGGATCCATCAGGTTCAGCCTTGAAACCGATGGCTGTTTGGGAAAACTAGCTTCTAACATGAGGTTTCTTTATAATTTCTATACATAATCATATATTTTCATCAAAATATAGGCTTGTACCTAAGATATTTTTATAAAATTTTAATTAGGAATAACAACAACTATTACAGTTACAACGGATACAATTCAAATGGTAATTTTAAGCCTGGTGAAGATTCGGATTTAAGGAGCAGTGGGGAAGGTGATATATATAGTTATGGTGGGCACGTCAAATATCTTGAACATGTACAGGCGCGCATATCCTTAAAAGCGCCTGAACGAGGACAAATCGAAATATTCTTGACTTCGCCCGCTGGTTAGGATTTTTTTAATCCTTTTAATATAATTTTTTTTTTAAATATACAAAATTGTGAAAAAATTTATTGATTGATTTTTAATTCTTTACTTGAAAGTTTGTTTATTGCAATTTAATATTAATTTATTTTATTAGTACAAGGGAATTCAATTATGATATGATTAATAAATAAAGGGACGACATCCAAACTCTTATTTAAAAGACCTAAGGATTATTCTGGGGCTGGTATCAATGGGTGGCCATTTATGACAACTCACAGTTGGGGAGAGCTCTCATACGGTACTTGGATACTTGAAATAACAAATGGAGCTAATCTGCCTGGTTAATTTTTATTGTTATTCACTACTCGAATATTAGATTTTGAACCTTTATTGCATTCTTCTTGAAACCGATTATATATTTTAATTTTATGATTTAAGGTTACTTGGTCGAGTGGTCCTTAATTTTTCATGGAACAGAATCTCAACCTGAAACGTTATCGTCACTTAGCTCATCGAGCTCTCCTTCATATATCAGGGGGCTGAAACATAATTCCATATCGGACAATCAGGCCGCTGCTGAGTCCTCATCTTCTAGAAATTACCTTAAAAATAATTTGATTCTAAACTGTTTCAAGATGCTATATCCGGGACATTGTTTGGGTGAGTTTAACTTGTTCCCTAGTTTATTTATATTAATCTGCATCGCGTTTAATTGCGTGCACCATTGTATAGTTTAAAATTCTATATTCTCTTCTAGCTGTAAGAAAATAGAAGTTACGCAGGATATAATGAATTTCAAACTTAAGTTTAGGAAAAAATAATCATATTATTTTAAATCACATTGACTCAAACAAAGTTAATTCTCATGTGTTATAATGCCGGAGTATAATTCTAATTTTTGATAATGACATAAATTTAAAGGGTGCCCTTCGTTTGTTAAATATTATTTTATATATATGAATCGCATACCTTTATTATAAAAAATTCAAATTACCTGCGTTATTTATTAAATGACGTTAACATCAATGAATCTGTATATGATTGCACTTCTTTATATAGTCATTATATGTATATATTTTACACATTATATGTTTTTTTGATGATGATAGGTTTGATATATTTTTTATCTTTAATTTAAATCCAAATAATGTTTTAATATATATTTAGTGATAAAGATTATTTACTTAAAGCAACATAATGTTTATTGTATTAATAATGATATGGATATTTTTTTACAATACTTTATGTGTTAAATCGTGAGAAGAACAAACTTAACAAATATATATTACTCTATACATCTCTAAAACTGATAGTGTGAATGATAATTTTTGTAGATTTAAACATTCCATTTCTCAACGTTTCGTCCTTTCGAAATTATTAAAAAGCTAATAACTCGAATAATGGCATTTAATTGTAAAGGCATGGTAACATGTGATAGATGTAAATGTTTAATTTAACCTATTTTAATTTCCATGTATTTACTGTATTTTAAAATTAATAACAAGACTAATATTTTGATAAATTTTGAATCTCCTTTAAATGTAATCTACATATCTTCTATTATTTTATTTTATGATATTCATTTGAAAAGTGTTTCTTATTTTGATATAATGAATAATTTAAAAAATCCCATTTTATATAATTTATATTTTAGGTTTTATTGTAGATATAGTAGATAGATATTATATTTAATTTAAACAGTATTTCGTTTAAGTTAAATTATCTATAAAAATAAATATTATTTTTTATTTACATAATTACGTTTTACATGAGTTTAGTTTGGAGGTTCTAAATGTCAACTTTTTTATTTTTTTTCTATCATTTTTTGTTTTGCATGTAGTTTTATCAAGAATGTTTGTATACTAAATATCGCACCATAAAATTTATAAGATTTTACTTATAAAATATTTTTAGTTTGCGATGATTCATACGCCCTGTACGAAGGTATGTGTTTAAAAGAATGCCCACCTAATTTGTATAAATCTCTCATAATGACTCCTCCTATAATATTTCCATCATCAATTAAAAGAGCCTCTCGCAGCCATCATAAAAAATCTGATTTATTTCTAAATAGTAAAGACGAAAGTATGATAAACTATGCTTCGGGGTGGGCCACCTTCCCTATAACATATTATACTAAAAGAGCGACTAAAATTTATAAAAAGGAGATTAAAAAAGTGGTAAAGAAGTTGTTTTCTTTGATTTGCAAGACCTGTGATTCTTCTTGTAAACGCTGCAGAGACGGGGGCAGGGCCCATTGCACGGAATGTCACGACGGATATTACCTGGCCAAGTTTTCGAGAAAGGACGAAGAAGAGAGCAGGACGGCGAACAGTGCAGAGTGTAAGGCTTGTGACGTGAGTTGTCGGACATGCGATGGGATCAGCGCGACCCGTTGCACATCCTGCCCTCTCACGAATCCCACGCCCCCATTCCCCGTTCTCGTGGATGGACATTGCCGCACGCCACGCTCTCACGGTTATGTCCGCTCAGAACACTCGCTTCCTTCCGGTAACCATCCTTTTACTTCCATCCCAGTTGTCCGTCATACCATCCTCGTGTCCGTTTTCGTCATTGCTTTCGTCGCCATTTTTGCCGCCTTTTTGCTCTTCACAAAAAATATCGGGACTCGATTAACTAACAATCTCGGACAGAACACATCTCTAAATCGTAAATCTATTACTTTCCTTATGAAAAATTTTAAAATTTGCAATATATATTTTGAACGTAAGGTTGAAATTTATTCCCATATAAATGCATTAATATTAATTTTTTGTATATTTATAATAGAAAATTTCAACCTCGAGGTTTATGGTAAAAAAAACATCAGCGAAAACATTTATTTAACTAAAATAAATAAACTAGAGGATCTCGATGAAAATTCTATGAGCGACAAAAATTTTCCAATTAACTCTCATAAAACGCTGATATCCAATGGAGTTATTTCCAATCTTCCCGCTTATTTGAAAAATTTAATAACGTTAAAACGAGCACGGCATTCAATAAATATTCATGATAAAATTAGCGGTCAGCTCCTTTGTAAAAACTTAAGGGATGATAAATACAATTTTTATAATCATTATAAATTGGTACCATTCTTTCAAAAAAATCCTATATTAGCTAATAATGCTTTTGAAAACGAATTATCAGATGAAAGTGATGACGGTACAAATTGCTCAGGTTTCAAAAATGATATATGTGGAAACAATCTCAAAACAAATCCCAACGAGAGCAGTCATCTTTTGGCTTTATAAAGTTTATTCAATATTTAATATCGATCTCCGAATTTATTATATATTTAATCGATCGTCAACTTATAATATACCATCAGACATAAAAAGTCACACTTGTCATTTTTATATAGTTACTCTCCAGTTGAATCTCCAAGGATTTTTTAATAGCAGAATGAATCACTTTGTTGCAAAATATTTTCTGAATCTATTTTTATGCATACCATTAATAGTTACACAAATGGTACCTTCATGGCAATTATATATTCTTTTTACAATAGTAAAGTTAGTAAATGAATGCAATTTATAGTAAAAACTATTTTCAGCTCAAATATTTATTATTTTTGTATTTTGATTTTTTACTTATATTTTATTTTATTTAATAAGCTATAAAAGAAAAATTTATAAATTATTTATATATATATTTGATTTAATTAAAGTATGAGAGATATGCTTATGCATTATATTTATATTTGAAATCTTATATTAATGATCTTATAAACATATCTATAATTTTATTTATAAAATAATAATTTAAATTCTTAGAACGACGACTATATAGTTTATATATCCGAGTTAAAACACTTTAGTCTGATTGAGACCGTGTATTGTAAAGGTCTATTTTGTCATAAAGTTTTAATTCTCAGTGTTTTGTTTCTATTTATAAAGTTTAACCACTATTTTCAACCAACTATCCTGATTGATCCTGATTGTATTCGCATATTTTTATATACTTTAAATTATATAAATTACAATATAGCTTTGATTCACATAACTGTAATTATTCGTCCAATTATTGTTTTATAGGACATTCAAAATTGACAAATTTAAATAATTTTCAAACGCTGAATTTTTTCAACATCAAAATTTAATATATTTGGGGAACTTTTGGATTGTTGAAAATAATTGTACTAATAATAATTATAAAATAATAAATTAAATTTATTTAGTTAAGACTCATGCTAAAATATATAATATACAATTTATTTCAATATTGTCATTTGATTGTGCTAAAAACAAATTTAAAATGCCTAATAGTAATAATACTACACGGTATAATTAACAAATTCCTTGTCATTTAATATATTTTCATTTAAAAATATATTGAAAATTGCAGTTTGATGGTACTGTGAATACTTGTTTTCAAGATACAAAATTCTTTTGTATCTTTTACTTTGCATTCCTTTGACATTCTTAATTATACTTCATTTTTAAAAGTATACTGTACCTATTCTACTTTTATAATATTTTTGTTTAATAAATTTAATACTATTTTTTTGCGTGGATTTTTCAGGGACTCGGAGTGAACCGTAATAAACCGCGAGACCTTTATAAATATCATAATTATTTTTTGAAAGAGTTTACATATTTTACTATATCCGCATAGTTTTAAGGTATCAATCCATTTTATAATTATTAAATTATCAAAATATTTTCTTAATATTTATAAAGAAGTATGTATTAATTTTTTCACTATAACTTAAATTGATCTAGAACCTTTTAACTGCTTCTTATAGTATTCGAGCCATATTCTTATTTTCTCTATTTTAGTATGCAACATATCTAAATAACCAATTTGTTTGATTTATTTACATTTATTTAATTAATTTAATTTTAATATCACCACCATAAACTAATATTATCCATGATGTGGCTTTACATGATGGTGATTAGTTTATCAATATCATAATTTTACAATATTTATTTTCTCTCATCTCATATTTTTTATTGTACTTGGCATATTCAAAAGGCATCATTCTAAAGAACATGAATCCTTAACTGTTAAAATTAAACTTTCCAAATCCATTTTGCCATCAATATCAAAATCTAGCCATAATATTTCTATTGAGCAGTCATTAAATCTATGATCAAGGTTAAAATGGATAAAAACACATTAATAAATTTTTATGCAGATATATGATTACTATATATTTATGTATTATTCATAAATACTTAACAAAAATAAATTAATTCATCTATTTTGTAAATAAACTTATTAACGTGATGGCAGTATTTTAATAAATAATAATTATGCTTCAATAAAAATAATTTAAAATTTGTTTTGTAAACTTAAAATAAAAATAAATTAATTCATCTATTTTGTAATTCAATAAAAATAATTAAAAATTTGTTTCGTAACCGCAATGAACCTTTACAATTAGCTGAACCGAATCGTACCTTTTTCATAAGAACCATAACCATTACGAATATGTATATACTGAACCATAGCCAAACTTAACCGTTATAAATAATGGTTAGGGTCCCTGGGTATTAATATTCATTTTAAGATTAATATTCATTATTATTTGATATATAAATTTTATATTTGGAAAATATATAATCCTTATTTATGATCTTATCCGTATTTATATTAGTCATTGTATTAGAATTATCACCATCTTATTAATAGGGAATGAAATATATTTATTACTGTCCAACATTTTGGATTGCCCTTTGTACCCTTATAGAAATAAAAATATTTGAGTTATTCGGATTCGCTTAAAAAATTCTTTATTGAAGCGTTTGCATTTTTTGCTTAATATTTAGATATTTGAAGCCATGAATGTACAAGATAAATTTTTACATATCATATTATACTAAAGGTTAGTACTCTTTAGTTTAATCAGCATGTTAAAACTTATCCCATATATGATTGTGCGTGCGCCATTTATTTTAATCATTAATACATATTTAACATTTTGCCCTATCTGAAAATGAATTTACTATAAGTTGATAATTTTACTAAAAGAAAGGATATGATATAAATCGTATTTCCGTTTACACTACATATGATATTTTCTTGTAATAGAAATAAGACTTTATTACATAGATTTTTTAAAATATTTTTACTAAATAATATTGTCCGCTTGTATATTTATGATACTAACGAACTAAATATGGCTAACCATTGTGAATATTGACTATCAGGTCAATTTAGCGAAATTTTATCGCAAATGAAACTTTAGAGCGAAGATGCGAAACCAATTTTTAGCTAGGACAATATATCGAATTTATTTCCGCAAAATTTTTATCGCACATTATAGTGAAACTTTTATAACCCCTTTTTCCTATACTTATTGTATATTAAGTATGCATGTTGTTTTAAATGTGATGATTTCGCAATCTTCCTGATTACTTTCACTCATGGTCATGAGTACACGAGCATTTTGGGTCCAGTTTTTTACCCCAATAACAACCCCCTTCTAACATAAAAATGAAAAAAAATGCGTTTTGCACATTTAAAGTAAATTTTAGCAAATAAACTGAATTTTTACTTATTCATGACTAAAAATACTGAAAGCCAGGAATTTTTATAGGATTTTCTCAGTTTTTTAAAAATCATAGAAGATTTTGCTAAATTAAAATTTTAATTTTTCAGAATTTTTTTTTAATGCTTATTTCTATAGAAAATTGTTGTTCTTATATCTGAATCCTGGGAACTTAAACATTTTACAAAGGTTTATTTTATATTTAATAAATTTCGAATAATATAATCATAAATTGTAAATTATACATAACCTCATATGAGATAATTTATAACATGTTTCATAAAGATTCTTACTATATTTTTTGCATCTTCCATGTATTCATTTTTTTTACATTATACACATCCTTATAACTCCCTGATATAATGGTCCTTTAATTTGAGAATTTTGTTTACCCATCTTATTTCTTTCGGTATTTCAAATTGTTTCTAGATAAAGAGATTGTGGTATTAAATTTGTATTTCAGTTTAATGTTTATTATTGTTTACAATGATTTCATCGATTTAAACTCTTTCTCCATATCTCTATGGTTACCTGTGATTATAACTACCTGCCACTATCATGCAACCTTCATTTTCATCTCTTAATATCCTCCTTTCTTTAATATTCATCACTAGATAACTCAAATTATATTGATGCTGTTTTTAATCGTTATTCTTAAATAGTGTCTAAATGTATTATATAAATAATTATAAGATTTTATGAATTAATTAGACAATAATGTAAAAATTTTGAAATATAATGGATTTTATAATTTGTTGAGTTCCCTCTACTCCAATATCTGAACATGAGTTGTTAAATTTTCAAAAGATTTATTCTCAGTTTTAAATCCTATGAAGACGCATTAGATGAATTAATAAGTATCACAGGCATAGCTGGGGGAAGGGGGGGGGGGTGGATTTCCCTTTGAAAATTTGCAGTTAAAAAATTTCCCTTGCCCCCTCCCTAAATAGGCCTACAATAAATGGACGTAAGACCTCCAATAAATTTCGGAGAAAAATCCTCTCTAAAAGTGCTTCTCTCCCCCGAGAATAATCCTGGATATGCTTATGCTCGCATCTTCGTTTGTTTAAATAAGTAGACATAGAATTAGTTATAAAATACTAGGTAAAATTCCACTTTTACAGACATATTTGACAGTTAGATATATTACAGTTAATAATTTAACAAATTTTACTAATCAATTCTCTTGATATTAAATATAGCAACAATTTGCATTCAATTATTTAACGCCATCTATTTATTTTAAGTAAAAATGATATTTAAATTTAATCTTCATATTATTCATCCCACAATGTCTTTAAAAGATATTTTCTGATGTCCTCAATATTTTATAGTTTTCTATAAAATATATAATTCGCTATATTGGTAAAAATTACTTGATTGTCATTTGATAATTAGATATTATATCTACGACATATAATATTCCACTGTTTGTATTGTGCTTTAATATTTTTTTTAATTTATGATTTAATTTTATCAATAGTTTTATAATTATATTTTACTTTTATTTAGATAAATAAATTAAAATTACTCACTTTATAAAAAATTATATTTGATATATTATATTATTTAGTAATTTTATGGATCTATTAATAATTATAACACATTTCACTTCTGTCTTAAGACTTATCTTTGGCTTATATTCTATTTATTAAAAAACATTTTTGGTTCATTTTACATATTTATAAATTTATTTTCCGAAAAATCTATAAATTATGATGAATAGTTTTATAAAAAAATATCAACTTTTACATTCTTTCTTTTAAATTATTATTTAAGATATATGCATACATATTTGAGGGTCAGGGAGTGGGGGATAGACTAAGGGGGATATTTTTTATTACCTAAAAATGATATTTACAAATGGTGATAAATTTCTGAATGGAGGGGGGGGGGGATTTTCCCTTGCCCCCCCCCCGGCTACACCTATGGCTAATAGCATTTTTTGATCTTGCAAATTGATTGTTAAAATTGTTTTTAGGCGTTGGTAAGAATAATGAATATTTGATAAGATGTCAATATGAGAGGAGTAAAAAGGTATATGTATGTTG